CCCCTGCTCTAGAGACTATGAATATTAAAACAATTCTAAAGTCCATTTGAAATGTAAGTGTGGGCCAATGGACGGCAGCTCAAACAAAAGTAAAGTGTTCATCCAGTTAAAAGCTGTGCAGCTGCATTTGGTACCAGCTGCCTTTTGTACCAGTGTATGCTATTTTAGCTGAGAGTGAAATATAATGCCTTACAATAATCTAGATGAGACAAAAGTAGGGCATTTACTACTTTTGCTAGGTCACCCTTGTGAAAGGAACAACCTTATTTTTGAAATGTTCTCTGGCTGGAGAAAGCAGGATACAACCCCCCCTTTCCCTTCCCCACTGAACATCAGAGTCAAAGTGCAAACTCAATTTTAGTTGCTGGCTTAATGTAAGCTGATAGGCCTCCAAGTTTGCCTTGGAATGATAGCGTGTCTGTGGGAGGAAATAAAGAAATGTTGAGACATCTCCAGAAATGCAGGTCAAGACACAAACTAAACTGTTAGTTTGTGTAATAGATGTAATGTAGATGTAATAGATACAATAAGTTTATAGTTTAATGAATATTCTAGATCCAAAACTAAACTGAAAGAAAAGCAGGAGTGAGAGCAAAGGTGCAATTACAATGTCTAATGCCATGTCATAATGTCTAACTTACATTATTACACTGAAGTAGTCTAGTAGTTGTATAAATGTCTGTATGTAGTGTAGTGTATGTGTAACAACTGACTGTCAAATAAAAAAAAAAGTTATATATATATATATATTATATTTCAAGTAAAACAATTGCTGCATTTAATCATAATCATAATTAATCATATCAGAGCTTTTGGAAAATGAAGTACTTGGGGTGCCTGGATAGCTCACTTGGTAGAGCTGACGCCCCATGTACCATGTACCAAGTCCTTGCTGCAGGGGCCACGGGCAGGACTCCAACCTGTGACTGTATGTCATCCCCTCTCTCTCCCCCTTCCTGTCCATCTTCAACTGTTCTATCTAATAAAGGAAAAAAAGCCCCAAAAACATATTTACTACTAGGCTTCTTCAGTATAATGGCAGTGATTTATAATAGGAGTTAGACATTATGATGTTTCTTCATTTTAGAGCAAATTACTTTTCTCTAGGGCTGCCCCCGACTAAACATTTTCAGAGTCGACTAGTAATCATTAGATAAAGTCAATAGTCGACTAGTCATAGCATGTTTATGATATTAATTTAATTATTTAAATATCTATATTTGAGCACCACCCTGTTAACGCTAACAGAAAAAGCGGTAATGATTCTAAATGTGTCAGAACAACCAGCAAGGACACTATACATTTAGTTCGTTTAATTAATTTTAATTTAATTGTCTTGTTCAAAACACGACAAGGTCTGTGTTGCAACAATCTTCTGATACGTCCGTCCTGGTGACAAGGTGCAGGTCCCAAACAGAGTCTGACATTTCTGTTTTTCTGTGACTATCTGACTGATGAAAAGACTCTTAAGACTTAACTCTTAACTCTCTAAGAGCAAATAACTCAACTATAAGGGGCCAGTTCTAGTTTTCTCTGAGTCTGACTGCTGTCTCTCATTTGTTTCTCCCCTGTGTGTATCTCACTCACTCTATTCATTATGCCTATCGTAATGCACAGATTTGACTGGCTGAGTAACATCACGTAAAATGATTAACGATGCATGTAATTGGTCTGGTAATATCCTGGGTCGCTAAACCAGCACAAGGCTAGAAAATCTGCGCTAGTTAAAATAGAAATGATCTGCCAAATTGCATAATTCTCAATAACTTATTGGTTAATGGTTCTGGTCCAGATAGAATCAAATCTGGGTCTGGACCCAGACTGCAGTCCGCCTATCAGTGACCTCAGTATTAGGGGATGGAGGGGGGGATGGCAGGTTAACAAGGGAACTGTTTTTTGAAAGGTGCTATATAAATAAAGTTTAGTAATTTTTATTATTATTACTTCAGTAAGGCAAATTGCCTCACAAATTCACAATTAATCAAATTACCAGAAGACAGTTGACATGCAGTGAACCTAAGGCATTTGCGTACCCTGGGGCAGTCACCCACTTTGCCCATTTAGCGAGCCAGCTTTGCCTGAGGGTGGCAATTGCCTGAATTGCTGCATGAAGGCAAAGACATTTATCGCACACATATTAAACAGTAACATATCTTCAAACCTTTATTCTTTAATCTCTTACTTTATCTTTTATTTATTTAATTCAAATAATTCTTTATCTGTTACATGTGCATTTCCCCCCGGGGATCAATAAAATATTATCTTGTCTTATCTTATCTCATCTATTAATATTATTTATTACATATTAATCTCCTTTGTACAGACTCCAAGTCTGAATTCAAAAGAGTTGGAAAGTAAATGCTCGTTTATTCAAATCCAATCAATTTTGCCCTCTCCCAGCCTTTATCTGCCTGATATTTCCAATCAACAACTTGTCACCTAGAATATTATTCCATGACATGTTCCCTTCGGTTGTATTTTAGCTGCAAAACATTTTCACAGACACCAGATAAAGACTTGTCAGCACAGCCATATTGTTTTCCTACCTTGCTCATCAGAAAGCATTTCCTTCCAGACAAAACTGTTTTGTGATTGTGCAAAACGAAGAAATAAGCCCTCTGTCTCAAATGCCACTTGTCAGATGGATTTGACTGACACAGATTGCAGAGGATAAGGTTTCAGACCACAAATTTCCAGCCTGACGTTCTTGGCAAATCTGGCTTACCAGTGAGGCATAAAGAACTGTCGTGTTCCCTCAAAGAGGTTTACTTTGAGAAAACTTTGTCGTTCAGGCCTTTTGACAGCGTATCAGGCTCCACTTTGCCTTAATTTATGACCCCGGATGTGTACCATTGTTAAAATCTTGTCTTTTCTTATGTAGTCTTTTAGTTTTTTTTGTGCCATGTTACACTACTGCAGAGGCAATTACAATTTAATGTGATTGTTGCTTAAAGCTCTTCTTCCATGCCTTTTTTTCTTACCTGTAACTCATACATATTCTACACATGCACATATATTATGTACCTGATTTTATGCTGTTTCTAATATTTCCATAAATTTGAATGTTTATTTAGAGAAACATTTCCAGAACAAAATACGATATTTGATTGCTGTGTGCATCGCTGCTAATTGCCATGAATTTTTTATGAAATCTCATTTGCAGTTATGCAGTGGGACTTTAAAACACTGTCCATAACTCTTAAACTGCACATACTTTTAATGAGATAAAGATCACACAAAGGTTTCTTATGTGGAATAAATGAAGACCACGCCTTTCTCACTAATCCTATCGCCCGTGCCTCGTTAATTCAATCACCTGTGCACACCTAGATATGTCTTTGTCTCACTACCCTTCCCCACTCTCTCCCATCTCAGCAGGCAGCACGGCGGCTCAGTGGTGTCACAGCAGAAGGTTCTGCTTTTGAACCTTGGCATCATCCCAGGACCTTTCTGTGTGGAGCTTGCAGGTTCTCCCTGTGTTAGCGAACCACAAGGAGACAATGAAGCTGTAAGCTCATCGACAACAAGTGTGAACCCGTCGTGGCGTCACCCATTGGTTGTGGAGTACCGCTTTACCATTTGGCATTATGGTTGCCCTTTCCTTGGAGTCAGCAGCGGTGATGTACTGTGAGTTGAGCTTCTTTTATTGGCTGCACAGTTTCAACTTGTCCGTACAAGGAAACAATGGTGGCTCGCATGGTCACATACAATCTCATATTACAGCTAAACAGTACACTAAAATACGTTTCTGAAACGATTCTAGGAGAGAAATAGCCAACACAGTAACATAATCTGGATCCATATTTGATCAGCACTGCCTAGTTTGACAGTTTGATCTGAGTTTTGTGCGTTGAGCTGGACGGACTCACAATAAGCATACCCTGGCTTTTAATGGTCTATTTTACTCTAAATGGAACAATAATATGGGACCATCATTTACTCAATGAACAGCATGCTGTATGGGAGAAGACTGAAACTAGAGATTGAGACCATAAACTCATTAGGAAACTCTTTACTGCGCTAATAAATCAAGTGAGAAGTCGGCTTATTTCTCCATAAGGCTGCGTGGTATCAGTTGTTATTGCAGGCAACGGAAGCTCTGTCCACTAATTATATACTGTCAATGATCGAGACATGCCCCCACCCTGATAGTCGACCCCCTGGTCTCTGCACCCATTCATCCCTGTGCAATTGACTCTCTTTTACCCCTTTCCTCGACCATTATCATTCTTCCATACACGACTCTCGTCCTGTACTACCAGAATTCTATTGGCAATCTGAATAAACTACTTTTAATACTGTACACTATGTACAGCACAAACTCATATATTGATATATCAAAATGCTCAGTATTGCACACTGATGACATACAATTAATGAGTTGTTCATAATTAATTTAAAACTTCTCATAATAGCCCAGGCTTTTATTTGCTTAAATCACTGAACTCACCCTGCCTTTATTGGGGACAGGCATTTAGTTCATTTACCACAAAACTCTTGCTCATCACAGATGAAAATACTCTCTAATTCTGCCGCTTCTCCTAAAACTAACAGCTTGAATTTTAGATTGTACTGCTGTCTGTGCCAGCGCCATGACACGGTTTTACAGGAGAAGAAGACTCCATGGAAGGCAACCCGCGGCATATGTAGATAAAAACAGTTCACTCTAAGGTAACAAAAACACAACAATTACCATTATATTATAGACATATTATTCATACCTGAATATGAATATTATATTTCATTACTGACAATAGATCCTCTATAGAAGTTCATTAACTCTCACTGCATCTGTAATTCAGCCAAAACATCAACGTCAATAGTTTAAGTTTTCATATGATTATAAAAGTCACCCCAATCAGCATCAATTCACACAGCAAAAACAGTGCATCTTCTTCAGGAGATGCTTCTCTTGTTTGTAAAATGTTAGAAGTAAAAATGAACAAACACTGTATTGCAGCCAGACCCGATATTGCCAAGAAGTAAACAGAAAATGTATCACAAATAATTCAATTTCAAACATCAATGAAGCAACAGTAAGGCAAGCAATTGCTTTGATGCTGCAAGTTTGCAGCAAAATTGGTGCTTTCAAAAAGGCCAGAGTACATCTGTATTTTCAGACCCAGCTCCTGGTTATAGAATTCAGCTGCTCCTCTATGATTCCATCTGAGGGCCTTTATTTTGCAGACTGTCACTGTAGCGCCTCAGGTAATTGTGCAATAGATCTCTGCCAGATGGTGACCCTCTGCCAGTGATGCAGTAATGGGGACTGGACTCTCGCAGGTTAATTTTCTCTGGCTCTGCGAGAGATTTTCCAGGAGCCTGCTCGCTCTTTGATACAGTTTAAGATCCACATCCTCAGCCCTCGGCTCTGGGTGACCGCTTCCCCCGCCATTCAGTCAGGCCAATTTTCAGACACAAAGCGTCATAGAATTTGTCATTTTAGCTGCATGTGGTTTCAGCTGCACCCGTTGAAATGATGACAAACTGTCATTACAGGCAGCCCCAACAACTGTTTACTACCTCATCTATATTCTGCAGCCTCATGTCCTTCCTTTATGTGCAGCCCCACTTCCCCTCCCACCTCTCCCATGTTGTTATCACCGTCATCATCGCAAAAAGGCAGCAGTATTGAAAGCAGAACATCCTTGTATTCCCAGTAAAGTATGGCAATTTTGCTGAGGAAAATATTTCACATGTGATGAGCTCTGTGCCACGACACATCCACAGAGCACCTTCCTTCTTCCTTAAGGAGTTAATCACATCTGGTCAAGGTGAAGGTCAGCACTGACACGATTTCAGTGCTGCTCTATTTGAAGGTATCGCTAATAAAGGGCAGCGGCAGCCCCTCACACTGCGCTGTCAGAGTGACACACCTGATCAGCCCCTCTGCTCCTCACAGGGCCGGAGCTTTTCAAGCAGCAAGGTTGTGGCTCCGAAACCTTCACAGGCCCACTTGAAAGGAAAATTGGTCATATGTAGAAAGATGGCATTGTTAAACTACATATAGAATTGTGTCAAATTATTATTTGCCACAGCAAAGCATGTTTGAAGGTGGGATCAGACATTGTGGAGAAAAATTGTTCCTAGGTTGTCAAAGCATTGGAGACTCAGTAATCTACTATCTTTCATACATTCACCAGAATGACTGACACCCCCTTTAAATAACACACAAGTCACACAAAATGTCATCTGAACACGTCTCAAGGCTGAAGTGTTCACAGGTGTTCTGAATTGCCTCTGTAACAGCCAAAATTCACCCGGCATGGCAGTGATATGCTCTGTCTGAGCAAAATCCTGCTACGATAGATAGAGGCAGGACACAATGGACGAAAGCCAGAGGGAGAATTTCAAATCCTACCTACTTTCACCCCCCTGCACATTGGACATCTGGCCATTTGCAGTCAATCAATCTTTGTGATTGTTGGATTGTCGGGTTTAGCAAGATACAACAATTTAACAGTATATCATTAGTGGGCAGAGAAAATCGATGATAAAACAGGGTATGCTTTAGGGCGTGGCTACCTAGTGATGACAAGTCATTCTCAGTTAGTCTGTCCAAGACTCAGATCAAACTGTCAAACTAGGCAGTGCTGATCAAATATGAATCAAGATTCTGTTACTGCGTTGCTTGTTACTGTATATTTATATTGCCATTAAAATGAAGTGAAGAGTGCCCTACTGTTAAAGGTTCTACATTATCCTCAGCTCTTTTTCTGGTACAAACTGGTACTAAAACTAGGACTATATAAGCACTATCTATAAGGTTAGTAGCTCAGTAACTAATAATTAGCAACAGAGTTTTCACATCATGATTTTTTTATGATTTTCACAGTCTTTTATTAAGTTGCAATCAGGAAGTGACTGATACTGTATACGACAGCTGACAGTGAGGACATTTCATGGAAATTGTGTGGATCAAGGGGAAATTGTAACCTGATGGTGCCACTAAAGGAAAGGTCAGTTGGTAAAAACAAAATTCTCAGGAATAATCCGCTGGAAAACCTGCATATACATACCAAATTTCACATCTATCTCAGTAGCAGCAGAGACAAACGTTGCACAAACCAACCATTTAACAACTGGCCAACAACAAACTCAAAATAATGAGACTGAAATTCCAGGAGATGCTTGACATTTGATCAAATATACAGGAGACGTATTCTGTTCTGTTTGACCGTACATACTGTATGCCTTTAAAGTTGCCACATGCTGCGGCTGCTGAGCCGAGGTTCCCTGACAAGGTAATCAGTTGCTGGCTCGGCCTCAAATAAGCTTAGTCCTGACTGAGCTGTATTAATAAAGCAGAAGATATGTTCAAGGTTATTTCTGCTTATATGGATGGCGCGCTGCTTTCTGTGACTGAGAGGGAAAGTTGGTGTAAATTGTGAGATTTAAATTGAGGGAGAGAAATATAAGATTCGCATATTACTTCTCTCTCATCATCCGCCCCCTTCACCCGGCTGTGTGATATCACGAAACTGCTTCTCTGACTATGAGCAGCTTCAGTAGAGTTCTTTTTTTTTATAGAATTAGGATTCATCATAGCCTGTTCTGGTCTGCAATATATTTGATACATTTAAGGTAAATTGTAATAAATAAATGTAATGATGACAACATTCTGCATCTCATCGTTTCATCTCTACACTGTCAGAATTGCAAGATAACAAATAAAATTCTCCTCGAAACCCCTAAATCATGTATTAGTTTTTAGGATAAGTTTTGTTACCTCAAGATAATAAAATAATTAACATTTAAAAAATTATATCAAGCACAGCCGTCCTCGCCTTCCATAGAATTCTGAACCAGACCTCCAATTAAACAACAGAACAACACAAATTTAAGCATTTCAGGATCTGAGGTTCCAATCAGCATGATATAATTTATCAGTGCCCCTCATTTTACAAATCACTATCCCCCCCAAAAAAAGTTGTCTGATCTGCTACTGTATGGTTTCATTTTTTTCATATTTCTTTTTTTTTGGCTCTTAATAATATGTCACCTGACTTTAAAGGCTGGCAGGTCTAGAAATGACGCAAGAGGAATACCTTCAGCATCATATTTTGAAGCAGAAGGCCACTAAACAAAAGGCCGTGTTTGACAACTTGGGAGTGAGATTAGGTTGTTTTAGCTTTGCTTCAATTAAGGGAAGTTTAGAGCTACAGCACAGAGGGATATTTTACACATTGCTCTGAATTTGGGTTTGTCCCTTTCCTGTTTCAATACTAATTAAAGTTATGTTACATTTTTGCATTGAAATGTCTATAAACTCTAGCTCTATGTCCTATATGTAGTTGAGTTGTGGTCTTCCATTATCCCAAATGTTTCCAACAATGTTCAAACGCAGAGAAATCTGTTATTTTATTCAGGTACTGCTGCGTTTCACCAGTCACCTGTCAATGCCGTTATATCCCCTTTATGCATGCGTTAGC